ATCAGAAAACAAAAATCAGTTAGGAAAATCAAATATATTTTAGGAGCATTAATATTTATGATTATTGTTATGTTTTATTTGCGTCGTAGAAAGCTATTTATGTCTCAGAAATTAATGACCTCAGATTTCCAGTCCTTACATTGCTTATAAATTAAACAGTATCAATTTTTTTATCATAATCATTAATTTATTAATGACAAAAATATAAAAAATAAATATAATGTATGGGAACATATATTAACGGAAGCTATTTATGTCTTAGAAAAGTTAAGCAGTGATGCCGAAATGAAGGAGAATAATGTACAAAGGGATTTTATGAGTGAAAATCACATCATTTACTATTAAAACATGTTAATGAAATTTTTTAATTTGCAAAAATTATTGAAATACTGCAATAAAGGGGGAGCATTCTTTTCTGAAATATTCCATTCGTTTATGTAGTGAAAATAGCAATGTAATTCGCATTCTTTCAGATGTTAAAATGCAACTTAAAACTATTAAGGCAACACTGCCATTGATACGTTTAATATTTTCAGTAATTAATTTATCGAAATTTATAAGGTAGTATATACTTTTAGTTGTGCGATGCCATTTTTTATTTTCATTATTATACTATTATTGATGATTTCACGTACTGAATGCTGTGGAAAGTAAATTAAAAGCAAAAGTAAAATAAATTGTAAAATTTCATTTCAAATAACGATTAGAAAGTACTCCATTAAGGTGTTTTCCCCCTTAGGCAAATAGTCCTCGAGTGCTTTATTATTATATAATAATTCAATTCAATTCTGTTTAAATACAAATTATTGCACATTACTCAATTATACGCCGAAATGTTTCTCATTCTTAAAAAAAAATTGTAATTTGTTATATTTTTTTCAAACGAAGAGAGATTAATATACTATTACTTTCAAAACAAATTTAATGTCTTCAGAGTTATCTTTTACAGATAAGTGTGAATTTTTGATAGATGTGTAATTTACAGGTTAAGAAACACTACAACTCTCTTCTCTTTTCTAAACCAAATCAAGCAAATCCTCAAACAAGTTCTGTGCTTTCAGATTTTATTCTCGATTAGGGATTTTAAAGAATTCCTAACCTGCATTTTATCTGCAAATGTGAGAATATTTTGAAAATTTTGATATGAAAAATTGAATAAATATTTATTTACTCATTATTTCAAGCAAAAATATTCATCCATTCCATTTCCTACTCCCATGAGTGAAAAAGTAACGAATTTCGATAAATTTAATGAAAAAAATTTCATGAAATTTACGCCGGAAATTAACTGAAATAGTTGGTCACTTAATGTTTTAGCATCTGTGTGTTCATAGCCTGTCGTAAAACTTACCCCCTTTTTTTTGGACCTTGAATTCATTCAAAGATCTCTAAGCCGAACAGGAAATCTCTCCTTTCCAAATGTAGTGCCGTAATTTCTTTGTGTTTCCTGGACTAGAACAGCATTTCGACATGTGGGTGGGCAAAATCCTTTCATGCCACAACTGCTCAACTTACATCAATGATTTTGTGTCCTTAAAAAAGAAAAGCATGTATTCTGGAGTTAGCAATTAATACTTACGAATGATTCCCCCCTCCAGTTTATTTGTGTAAAATAGAGAGGGAAAAAAAATCGATCTGCCTTTAACTTTGCCATTTTGTAATGTTAATCGTGCTTCTAAATCCAAAATGTTTCTGTCCCTTACCTTGCCCCTTATTGTGACTGCACAGGTTGCAAGTACCATCGTTTTTTCAGAGTTTTCACAGAGTTGGCTTTAGAGAACTATACATTCAAAAAACATGCAGATTCTTCCTTATTTAATTTCTTTAAAAATAATACAGGGTGAGGTTATTTGGTGGCAACAATTTGAAAAGTTATACGCCGTTTATAGCGAACCAACGAAATACATACATTCAAACATGCAGATTTCCTTATAATTAAATTCATGGTGAAGAATCATTCACATTAATAAATTCAATTTCAAATTGAATATTAGGACTGATTTTTGGACTTGCGTTTAATGGAAAAGCTAGTAAGAGATTCAATATATAAACAAAATTAAACGCTACCGGAATGACATATTATGAAAATTACGAACTGCAAATAATATACCACGATTTTTCTCTTAACTTGCAAAGTTCATTCCAAAGTACCAGAATCCTGCCTAGTTACTTCTTTGATTATACTTAGAAAATATGTCTACTGATTATTCGATCATAATGCGAATTATACAGAAACAAATATATATAAATAAGTACTTTATAATAAATAGTTACAATTAATTTCCACTTCCACCGCTTTTTGATTTGGGATTGCAAAAAAGGAGAAACCTTTCCTTTAGGGGGTCGCCTTCAATAATTTTCAGGTTTGAGACTAAGGAATACAAAGAAACTTTTCCTATTTTCCGCTCACTGCTATCCCTAAACTGGAGTAGGTCATGAAGTTATTATTTCATAGTCAAATACTGAAATTTTAACTTTTGCAAACACTTGAATTTAGCTGTTTCAGGTGCTTCCAGGGGTCTACTATCTGCGTCATACAAAAAATTGCGTTATTGCACCATATAGGTAGGAGGCCCTTAAAAACTTAAAAGAAAATGAATTCTTTTATCTACATATACTTAAAGATTCTAAAGGTAAAGGTAAATTGGAGTCAAATCAAGGCTATTCCTCAACTATATTAATATTAACAATTGTGTAACAGGGGTTTAACACAAAATCAAAACATATCAATATTAAAATAAGAATTTATAGTAGTACAAATTCTAAAAATAAAAATGAAAAGCAAAGGGGAAAAAATATAAAAATAATAATTAATCTTCTTTTATTGAAATTCTAATTCCGAACTCATCAAGGGAAAATAAATTAAAGCTTCTATATATGTGTAATGGAGTCCATCTTTTAAGTTTAAACATGTAAATGTAGTTTGGAAGGACATTTAAGGGTCCCCTAAGCCTTCGGGCCCCTATGCGTCGGCATTCCTTGCATACCCTTATTTACGCCTGTGTACATAAGGTATTTCTCCCGGCCTTCTTAGCATCCCTTTATAGTGTAGTGGTCAGCATGCTTGACACAAATTCGAGAGGTCCATGGTTCAAGTCTCGGCGAGGGCAATATTCATTTTTCATGTCTCATGCTTTGAAATAACCTAATGTCTCTATAAACTTACTTGATTTTTTCTTCTATTTCTTTCTCAAAATTTAAGCTTAATCCAAATATAATTTGCACATTTTTTATGATTTATTTTTAAAATTTCTATTTTTAAATATATTTTATAAATTTTTTGAAAAATTCTTGTATTCTAAACCTATAAAATTTTTAACATCATCTTAAAGCAGATGTATATCTAGGCATACTTGTAAAAAATTAGAGTTTTTTTATTCAAAATTCTCTAAGATATACATGAATTTACATACTGCAGCGTTTTGAAATTTTTCATCTTTTTTTTTTTTTTTTTTTTTCTAGCGATAATGACGTCGAATGTGTTTTACGCACTTTGTTAAAATTATTTAAAAGAACTTTTTTTCCGTTAATCTACAATGAAAAAAGAAAAGAAAATAGGTTGCTATAAATTAAGAAGTTCGCCAAGTAAATAGGCGCAAACTGAAAAAATTACACCAAGATAAATTTTTGAATTTCTCTGTAAATTTTGCACCAAATTTTACAAAATTTAATATTTAGGCCTAATTTGAATCATAGAATCCATGCTAGAATGATGTTATATATAGATCTAATATATGTCTTAAGTCGCGCTTTCGAGACATGGAAAACACAGGCTAAATTTCAACAATCGGTCCAGTAAACAGGGGATAATGAACTGCCCCCTTTTTTTTTGTGTGTGTGTAAAAGGTGTACACAGTTAAAATACTAGCAAATTAGGAGATGAAGCAAAGACTAGAGGGAACATTGATGTGTTTATTGAAGCAAATAAACTTAGAAAAGATGTAAAAGAGAAGAAAATTTATGTAAATTAGCTGAAATGTCTGGGAAATTTTCAAGTTAAAAAGATGCATAAACATTTTGTTGTTTGTTTTTGTTGTATATTAATATAACTACAAAACATAATTTTTTTGTAGCTTTTAATATATAGTTATACTAAAACACAAGTTGAATTTCATCAGTCAGCCCAGTAGAACGGGAAATATAGAACTGAACCCTCCCCCCTTGCAGTGTAGCTCTGAACTAATGAGTATACATGACGAAATAAGGCATATAAAAAAGAATCAATATGAAGGTAACGGTTAGTAAAATTTAAATAGACAGCCACTAATCTTCTTTAAAGTGTGTGAGACTATTATAAGTGTAAAATATAAATATTTAAAGAAATTTTATAATTAATTGTAATTATTTGAAAAATTATGAAGTTAATTTTATTCTTGAATTTGTTTAATAATTAAGGTAAATATTAGTATATGTTGAATAATATTGCATCCTATTTAATTACAGATTTATTTTATTGGTAAAAAAATCAAAAGTGAAGTTCAGCTGTAGATAATTACTTTAGTTTGTTCAGTTCCTGTTTGCTTAATAAGTCCTGAATTTTTTTCATGATTGTCCTTAAAAATACTGAATTTTCATGTGCAGAACTGTGTACAAACCCTTGTAGAATTTAAATAAAATGAAGGCTGCATAGAACTTATGCCTTGATTTTCTTGCTTATTTTTGAGAGGTGTGTTTTGTCATGTGCATTTACTTAAGGTCCTGTATAATTATGAAGAATTTACTTGAAATCATTGAGAAAATGGTCCTATTAATCTGGCCCAGTTATAAGGAATTCTCTACAAACATATAGCACTTAATATTATTGGGTGACGCCATATTATTCAGTGTTATATGTTATACACCATATGAAATTGTATAACATTGTACATCATTATGTACTCTAGAAACCTGTAGCTACATATTCATAAAGATCTTCTTAAATATCTATGCTATATTTAATTTTGTTGTTTTGATTTGTTATAAAAAATGTATGAATAAAGGCTTTTTTTCCCCTCCACCAGTGAAAGTCTTCTTGAGCAAATTATAAAGCAGACACGACATGTGGTTTTAAGACTGAGGTTTGGAACTTTTATATTTATTACATGAATAGTAGTATTTTTGCTCAAAATATCTGCTTTATTTATTATTTTATTTTGTATGCTTTATAGTTACACATTTAATTGCTTTCTGAAAATTTAAAAAATATAAATAAAATACATTAAAAAAGACTTTATTTCTTAATATGTTTTTTATCAAGTGTTTTATGTTTTGAAATAGGAATCCAAAATTTTTCAAAAGTCTATTTTGCAGGCATATCTTTGGGTTTTATATTAATGTACTTGTTTTGTGTTCTTATTTTCAGTCATTTCATCAATTTGTAACATTATCATATTTTAATCTTTATCTTTTATTGTTTTTAAATTCATATGTATAAAAATATATAAAATTAGGCAAAGAGAATCTATTATAGGTTAGTATAGATTTTGAACAAAACTCATTGATTTCAAGAGACATAGATTCCATCTTTTTTAAAGCAAAAAGGTTCTTGCCAATGAGCTTTGTTTAAAACCTATGTTAATCTAAGGTTGCTTTTTTTTGCCTAGTTTTAAATTTTACATAGGTGTATTTCTCATTCACATACCTAAGTTATTTATATGTTTATGTATTGGGTTATCTGGAATGTCTGTGGTTTTTCAAATCAAAACATGTTTTTTTCTAATTATTTTGTTACTGCTGATAAAGAATGATCTTGATTGAAACTGAAACAGATGTTTAAATATGGTCTTTTCTGCTCACATTACATAAATTCTAGTATGTGTTGTGGCATAATTTTTCTTCAGTGCAGGGTTAAGAATGGAGAAACCAAAAGTTCATTTTTGGCTTATTACGCTCTTTTATTTTAAAAGAAAACTTTTTAGTCAAATTGCTTGTTAAATTTGTCCTGTATATGGGCAAAATGCTTTCCCTGATGACACAGTTCAAAGGTGCTTTTAAAGCATGGAAATTTCACCCTCAAAGATGATGCCCATTCTATGCAACCTGTAAGCAAGGACTTCTTAAAAGATAGAATCTCTGAAAATCCATGTTAACACTTCAAGAGCTATCTGACAGAACTAAATGTTCTGAAAAGTACATTACATCATCATTTGAAGAAGAATGGATATGTAAATTGCTATAATATATGAATATCCCATACTTTAATACAGCAGAATATGCTTGATTAGATTTCAACATGGAATTGTTTACTAATTCAGAAGTTAAACAACAAAAATCAGTGTTATATTTTCAAAGGACTAGTTTCGATGGTTTTATGAACTACCATCGTTAGCTGCAAAAGCGCAAATGAATGAGATAGGATATAATGATCAGATAAGATAAGAAAGCCTGGACAGAAAATAAGCTAGTGGCGCCGTCTGTTGATGAAACTAGAACTAAAACATAATTTCTTTAATGGCCGAAGACAAAGATGGATTAGAATTAGGATCGATAACTAGAACAGAAAGATTTTTTTTGAATGTGAAATGCCTCTAGAAAATCCAATTCTCCAATGGAAGATGTTTTTTGAATAATTTTGGCAGCAGAAAAATTGAAAAAACGTGATTTTCGGAACAACAATGTTGGGCAACAGCAGACTTCTGTGTTTCCTTTTTTCTGCCAGTGTAGTTTAGTTTGCATTGGTCAAACTAAGAGAGCCTTAAAATTTCACATCATGGAACATGAGGCATATGTTAGAAAAAAGCAAAACACAGAAGTCTTCTGTTGGCCAACATTGTTGGTCCAAAAATCACACTTTCAATTTTTCTGCTGCCAAAATTATTCAAAAAACATCTTCCATTGGAGAACTAGATTTTCTAAAGGCATTTCACATTCAAAAAAATCTTTCTGATTAACGACCCTAACTTCTAGTTAACGACCCTAAATCCAATCCATCTTTGCCTTCGGCCCTTAAAGAAATTATGTTTTAGTTTTGGTTTCATCAACAGATGGTGCCACTAGCTTATTTTCTGTCCAGGCTTTCTTATCTTATCTGATCATTATATCCTATCTTGTTCATTTGCGCTTTTGCAGCTGACGATGGTGGTTCGGTAAAACCATCGAAACTAGTCCTGTGAAAATTTGAAAATATAACGCTGATTTTTGTTGTTTGACTTCTGAATTAGTATTTGTTTGGCGTGATATTGTGTCTTAATTATGTAATTGTTTGCTAAAACAAAATAAAGAAGCTCCTCTTTTAAAATGTTTCATGACTGAAGATGAGAAATGGTTACCATACAATAATGTTACAAGAAAAAAAGTCATGGGGTAAGCCAAATGAGCTTTATTAAGTAACATTCAGAGGGGATCATCATCCCCAAAAAATAATGCTTTGTGTACGCTAGGAGTATAAAGAAATTGTATATTATGTATTATTGCTGCTAAATCAGGCAATAAATTCAGAAAAATGCATTTCCAAAATAGCAGTTGTAAAAGCAGAAATTGAAGCAAAGTGCCCAGAAAAGCAAATATGAAGGTAGTGTCTTCCACTGTGACAGTGGTCACCCCACATTTCAGTGAATGTCAGACAAATTATTGTGTATGGTTGGATGTTTTGTATTATGTCCATATTCACCAGACCTTGCTCCTTGAATTTTCATTCTTTAGGTCACTTCAGAATTTGAAGACTGTCAAACAGAACAATAACCTTTTTAAAATAAACTTAATGAAAAAAGTCATTAGATTTATTATAAATTTCTTTTAATATGGAAAATTTCATTTTAAAACAAATTTCCAGATGTTAGAAGATTGCAGAATTATAGAACGAGATAGAATTTATGTGATTCAATGAATGATGTTTTGGGATGGCTTTATTTGTATTTATCATTAAAAAACTGCAGAACTTTCTGGATGATCCAGTGTATGTCTGTATACAGATAGTTTATATAAATAAAATATATCAGTTTTTTTACAGAAGCATAAATACATAAGTTTAAATATAAGGTTAATAACTTGAATATCTGTATTTTTGTTAACATGAAATCATATTTCCTTACTGTTGTATTAATACATAAATATTTTTTATTGAACTGATGTGTTATATTTTATAAATGAATATTAAAAATGTTTTATAACCTCTTCTCTATTTTTGTTATAAATTTTATTTCTTTTATATATCATACTTTTTTCCCTTTTTACATTCAAACCCTGCTATAGTGAATGTAGTTTATAAAGAATCGTTGCATATAATGAATATGCATTTTGATCCCTTCCAGTTTCCTGCATACATAATGTTATTTTAGAGGGCTATAGCAAAACTCCAAATTTATGAAATTTGAACATAACAACTTTATGGATATCTTCAGCTGAAAATTTTGAATGTGTAATATGCCTCTCCTGCCCCAGTTTGTTTAATATTCCTACAGAAAAATAACTAATTCTTAAAATCATATATGTTTAGGATATTAAGATTGAGATCCTTTGATATGAGGATAGCAGAAAAACCTTTACATTGTTGTTAGTTTAACTTCATCTTTCAGGTAATGAAAATTTGTTATCCTTATCATTTGTTTTGAGTATTTAAAATTCTCTTCAAAATCATTCTTCTCAATGGACAGTTTTGCATTCTTTAGGTTTTTTTGCAAGATTTAGGTTATTCTTTTTAAAGACTACTTCACCTTTTTTTTTTTTGCAACCATACTGGGGCAAATGAATCAGATAGATTAAAGATTGTGTTGTGTTCCTTTCCCTCCTTTTTCCTAAGAGTGAAACTACTCTGTATTAATGAAAAATATCTGTGTCAAAAAGTAATCTGTATGATGTGTTTTAACCCTTTGTTATCGGATTAAATTTGGAGATGGGTATCATACTGGTCAGAATTAATTTCTGTCGATAGAACAGGGATACATAACACGCAAGTTTATGATGGATAAACAAGATTTAGTAATTCTTTTGTGAACTTTAGATATATCTTTATTCAATACACTAATCTAGTGATATGTTTTTGTATAAAAATTATGTTTTATAATTCTTCTTCTTGTGATATTTTTCAAAACACTCTCCAACATGCAGGCCAGGTTTTCGAGTGCATGTATCGCAAAAATAATTGGTTTGGTGCTTTCCACACTCAATCTTTCTGTTTGAACATACACTACAATCTTTACTTTTTACATTTTCACAATGCCGCAATATATGCAGTTTTCCATTAAGTCTTTCTTCCTTATCGGAGGTTGATGGTTTTCCTGGTTTTGAATCTGCTCTGTCACGAAAATCACCTATCAGTGCCACCAATTTTCAGACAATTATAAAATGTGGCATGGGTGTCCTGTTCTCTCTTCTAGCTGAATTTTGGGGAATTATTTTGGAATATTTTAAGAAGAGAGAATGTCTAATTACTGTTAAATACGATTTATGAAAGATTCTTTGGAATTCTACAAGGTATCGTCAAACGTTGTCGATTTCATTACAAGACAACTGACTCGCCACTTCGTCTTGCATGGCAAGCTCTGGGTCACAACTTTTGTTTAGATTAGATTACGTTATCTTCAATCGATGGAGCACCGTATTGGTTTGTGAATAGGTTCTTTAGGCATTGAGGTTCATATAGGAAAAGTGTAAACTGATGCATGAATGCATACCGTATACGATTCATATAGTTCCTTGCTGTGGTGGCTGAGAGCAGACATACGACCGGAACGATAAAAAGGCTTTGGTGGCTGAGAGTGGACATACGACCGCAAAGGGTTAAATGTAAAGCATTCTGGATTGAACATAATATGAATGTTGTTTAAAAAGAGTACAGAATGGATGTAGTCAAATTGATATTTGCAGGTTGTATCTAAATCTACAATTAATAGCATGTGGAAAAATTTTTACCCATTAATTTGTTAGTACCATGAGAAAAAATGAAGACTCAATAATTTTTGCTCATGGAAAAATTTGGATATGAGAGAAAAGTTGAGAAAGGCTAAGCTTAAGGATGTTGAATAAGCATTGCTGAAATGGTTCACTATTCAAAGAGCTGCAACTTCAGATAAAGACCAGTTAATTTGGTAACTGCCTTTTGTGTTATAATGGCTGGTTGGATAGGTTCAAGGAAAAAAAA